GGGATGATTCACACAGCTTCTCCTGGAGGGCAAGTTTAGTTCCTAATGATCAGAAATAAGATGGGAAAGAAGAAAGCTTGCCATCCTCAGAAGTGATGGGGTATAGGGTTGAGGCTGGCCCTCTGGGAGGACCTTTCTGGACCACTTTTCCTGGCATCCCTACCAGCAGCCTTAGCCTCACACCACTCTCCACCCCTGCCTGGGGTAGTTTTGCTGAGTGCCATGAACAGAATCCTTTCAAGGGTTTATTGGATGCCACCTAGCTGCCCCTCTACAACCCCTGGTCTTGACTCTTGTCATTCCAGCCCCAGAGAAATGCTCAGGCCACAGATCATCTGAACGAGTCATGGATCTTCAGGTCTCTGGGCCTTGGCAGTGTTGTGCCCTTGCCTGGAATGACCTTGTGCCCTTGCTTCCATGGTGAACTCCAAAATTTTCTGGGTTCAACTGTGCCACTTGGTGGTCAGGAGCAATCCTGGGAAGGTGATTTGATGTTTCTGCAGCTCAGTGTTTTTAGCTGTAAGATGGACACAGTCATATTTGCCTCAATTCCCTGGCAGGGATGTGGAGGGTCAAACAAGACAATGACCAGCAAAATAAGCTACAGAGGATAAAGCTCAGAAATAATAATAGAAGTAATAAGAGTAATAACTAATGCAGTCTGAGCACTTGCTACATGTCAGGTACTGTGCCGGGAGCTCCACACATATTTTATCATCTGACCTTCATAGAAGCCCTGAAGCTGCCTTCAGGCAAAGGTGCAGCTGCATGAGTTGGGCAGGAAGAGGTGGTGAGCTGTATGGGCTCTGGGTTGGACAGACCTGGGTTCTCATCCTGGCTCTTATCTACTCTGGAACTCCGAGCACGGTTTTTCACTTCTTCTCCCAGCTTCAGGGTCCAATCTATGAATTAGAGATGTGATGGGGTTGTTGTACAAGGGGTACGTGGGGTAAGCACTTAGCAATGATCCTTACTAAGTGAATGTCGGCAATTAGGATTAATTATACGTGCACTTTACAGATTTGCAGATTGGAAAACAGAAGCTCAAAGAGGTTAAGTAACTTGCTCAGGTTCACACAGGTGGTAAGTGCTGGAGATGAGGTTTGAACCTTGGTTTGTTTGACTTCAGAGCCAAACCTCATTGCTTCTTGAAGTGGGTGTCGGGACATCTGGATTCCAGCTTCAGTAGCCCACAGGGTGACCGAACACGAGTCCCTTCCTATTTCTGGGTCGCAGGTTAAAGTGAGGAGGCTGGACCAGAGGGTCTCTAAGGTGTGTGAATTCATGTAGGTGACATCCGCACAACCTTTCCTTGCAAATACTCGGGTAGGTTTTTGTTTGTTTGTTTTTGATTTTTAAAGAATGAAAAGTGCTAGCTAATTGGGAGGTCTCAGTTAGTGTAAACTAGAAAGCTGGGGTAGCTGCAGAAGAGATCAGCTCAGTATGCTGGAGGAACGGACTGAGCACTGGTATTGGCCATGGGACCAGAGGTGGGGCCGACACCTGCCTCTTGCTGCCACAAGAACAGGAAGGTAGAACATAGAGATAGTCCTTTCCTGAGCATCTTATTAATTCATATTCACCCATCTACTGCCCACATATTTAACCACTCATCCACACATCCATTCAACCATCTACCCATCCATCACCTACCCACCCATCCATCCGTCTTCCTACCTACCTTTATCTCATTGATTATCTATTTATACATTTATTCACCAAATCAATTCACTTACTTCACCCACCCAACCAGTACTTCCCAAGAGCTATGCCTGGGGGAACAGAGATGACTCAAATGTGTTTCTCACTCTCAAAAAGCCCACGTCGTCTATGTCAGACAATAAGAAGACATGGAAGAGTCAGTGCCCTCATGGAGAGGAAATAGCCCCGTTCAAGGTCTGATTTCCCAGGTCAGGTTCAGTTCTCGAACAAAGCTGACAGGTAGTGTGGTGTGGGGAGGACACTGCATGCCTTTACCTGTCTTGTGTGGCTTAGAAAGTCCTATAGTCTAGATTTCCTAGCCTGGTTTGGAGGTTGGCTAGACCTACTCTGGACCAAGCAGCCCCTGACTCTTCTTAGGAGTCTCTGGGCCTGGAAAGTCCCTCAGAGACCTTTTGCCCTATATAGCTGGCAGGCCTTGGCTGTGAACCTGACTCTCTGGACCCCAGGCCTTCCAAGGCCACCTTATGCTAACGATGTTGTAGGACTGGTTTCAGTGACTGAGAACCTGGTCTGGACACCCTACTCAACAGCTGGCTTTGGAGTATCTATGAGTTGGCTTTGCCACTAGTTGGCTGTGTGAATTTGGGTAAGACCCTTTGCTTCTGCTATTGACTGTTAGCCTCTGCATTGCTACAGATGGAATCCCTTTTTAAAAGATGATTATATTGCTGAATAATGACAACACTAACAATACTTGGTGCTGAATATGAGCCAGGCATTGTGTGAAGCACTTTGCACTTACTAACTCATTTCACCCTCACAATAATCCTATCCTATCATTTTCACCAGGAAGCTGAGGCACAGAGAGGTTAATTAACTTGTTTGCACTCATATAGCTATAGAGGGATTTGAATCCAGGTTGTCCGGCTCCAGAGTATGAGCTTTAACAACTATGCCATCATACCGGGGGACTCTGTTGTTCTTTCTATGCTGATGACCATCACCCCCAGCAAGGAGAACCATGTGGCCAAGGGGCTTGCAGGAGAGACCCAGAAAGAAGAGGCACAGGAGTCCTAGGATCATGGGACCCTGGTGCCTGAGAGGTAAGTGACTTAGCCTGATTACAAACCAAGGATCCCAATTCCTGGGCCCTGACCCCTCTCCAGTCTCAACAGATACACCTCCCCAGGTAGACTAGCTGAGCCCTGTCCCTTAAGCCACGTAGACACAACCAACATCCAGAAATGAGATTTTAGCTTTGAGGCTGGTGCTATGTAACACTGCCTAATTGAGATGTTTCCTCAGCTCTCCTGGCAGATCCCAGAACTGCTTTTTACTGTGATTATATAATCTACATCTCAATCCAAACCCACCTCACAGGGCTCTGCCCCCGAGGCTGCCCCATCGCCCGAAGCCAGCTCTGGGAGTTGCCCTGTTCCCCTCTTTGCCACATCTGCAGGACAAGATCATTAACAGAATCTCAGTTATTTTAGGAAGGCCTGGGGAACAGAATCAAACATTGCTGATCTCCCTTGATTCCCAAATTGGGACAGGCGTAGGGGCGGGGTGGGAAGAAGACAAAACATCGTCATTTCTGACGAACCCCAGGGTTCTCTATTACCCGTGTGCATGCGTCTTCCTGACCTACTTTCCCCTTTCCTCCGTGTGCCTCCCTCAGCCTACAGCTCCGGGGTGATTTGGGCAGCTGCTCAGCCCTGGACAGTGCAGTTCTTGCAACCCCAGTGTCTGGAGGCAGAAGCTGCCTCCTCCCCCTTCTCCCACCAGCCCTCAGCCCCTCACTGATGAGTCATGCTCTCCTTCCCATTTGGATAAAGCTGCCAGCAGTTCCCACAACCCAACCTGACAGTGATGCTTCAAGCTGCCTTGGGGGCAGAAGGGAGAGGTCAGGGCTAGGGCACATTTGGGAGGTAAGCAAAAAAGCCCAGCTGCTCACCCAGCTGCTCCCACTACAGAAATGCCCTACATCTGGATGCCAACTGACCTCTGGATGGGCAATTCTGTGTTTCTCTTCATCCAAGTGCTGGTTAATTACAAAAAGGCCATCTGTGCTTCTAAACCAAACAGGGATTACAGCATGAGTCTACTGCAGCTTAGCTGAGACAGGAATATGAGAATTTTTCTCATTGAAACTTGTGATACTCCTACTATTACTAACAATAACAACATCATTGGTGGTAGGTCATTTGTGAAAATGGCCACAATTAGTTCTCTCTCTAAATCAATGCCTTTTGCAATGTGATCTTGTACCTCCTTCCATCAAGAGACGGAGTCTATTTCCCCATTCCCAAATCTGCATAGGCCTCTTGGCTTGCAGTGACCAATGTAGTCTAAATGCATTTGGCTAAATGCAGCAGCAAAATGACAATGTGAACAAGCCCAGACTAGCCTGCTGGAAGAGGTGGGACCATGGAAAGCCAAGATGAACCATCCCAGCTGAGGACATCCCAGACCAGCCTACGTTGCTGCTGAGGTCAGCAGAGCTGTCCCCATGAGCCACCACAGATGCAGATGCATTAGGGAATCCCACTGAGAACCAAAGAACCACCCAGCTGAGCCCAGCCTGAAGGGCCGACTCACAGAATTGTGAGCTAAATACACAGTTTGGTTTTGAGCTGCCAAGTTTTGAAGTACAATACTTGCTGCTTACTCTCAGGGGATACAATTCAACACCCCCAAGGGGTTGTCCAAAACTGTGGGTAGTACCAAACCCTATGTATACTATGTTTTTTCCTAGATATGCATATCCATGATAACATTTAATTTATAAATTAGGCAAAGTAAGAGATTAACAACTGATTAATAACTGATAATAGAACAGAATGATTATTACAATACACTGTAGTAAAAGTTATGTGAATAACTTTTGTTCCCTCTCTTGTTCTTATGTGAGATGATAAAATGCCTATGTAATGAGATGCAGGGAGGGGAATGATACAGTGTGTGCCATAGCACTAGACTACTCTCCACCTTCTGACGTTGTTTCAGAAGAAGGGTCATCTGCTACGGGACTGAGGTTGACTACAGGTGATTGAAAGTGCAGACAAGAGGGACTACTATAATTATGTAGCAAAAGGCAACTAATAAAAAGTGAATTTTTGGTAAGGGGATTAATGACAACATCTAAACGAAGAGAATTAACATTTTTTTCCCATATAAACATCATTGCTAAATCAAAGAGAAACAAGTTGCTTACTATACAATCACCCCAAAATACATCAGCAGGATTCAAACATATGAATCATGTCACTCAATCTGCCCGGTTACCTGTGTGTCACCCCATGGATGTTGTTCCCTCTGGCAGAGGCTGCACCACTCACCAGAATCTTGGTGGTGTAGGCGCTGTTGATGGCAATGGCATTGACGAGCAGCTCCATGGTCTTAGCATTGATGGAGCTGGGGTCAGGGATCTCCTTGTAGTGGACATCGCCAACATAAGCCTGCACGACTGTCATGCGATTGGTGGTCAGTGTGCCTGTCTTGTCTGAGCAGATGGCGGTGGCATTGCCCATGGTCTCACAGGCGTCCAGGTGGCGTACCAGGTTGTTGTCTTTCATCATTTTCTGGGGGAAGGGGTAGATGAGAGGGTGACAGTGAGGAGAGGGTGCTGGGAGGCCAGGGATCCAGGGGGTGAGGTGGGGCACTGGGGAAGCATGCAGTAAGTGGGGCAGAGCTGCTGCAGTCTGCTCCTGGGCTTCCCACATGTGGAAAGGACATGGGTTGCTGTGGCCTCAGACATTGGGGCTCCTTGTGTGTGCAGTCTTTTCCTGTGCTTTCATTATTTGAACTACTTAAAAGATTTGATTAATTGACTTTATTAATTTGGATTACAGCAGTAATCTGTATTCCTTATGGAAAAAATAGGGAGAAGGGTGACAAATTAAGATTGGGTCCTTAACAGTGACCTCAAATATTTTTCTCTTACACCCTAACAGAAATCACCATTCCTTATCTGGTTATGGGTTTTTCTAAAATGTACCATCTTTTGCTGGTGCCTGGTTCTTTCTTTCTTTCTTTCTTTCTTTCTTTCTTTCTTTCTTTCTTTCTTTCTTTCTTTCTTTCTTTCTTTCTCTTTCCTTTTTAAAAAGATTTTATTTATTTATTCATGAGAGACACAGAGAAAGAGGCAGAGACATAGGCAGAGGGAGAAGCAGACTCTCTGCAGGGAGCCTGATGTGGGGCTTGATCCCAGGACCCTGGGATCACACCCTCAGCCAAAGGCAGATGCTCAACCTACTAAGCCACCCTGGTGCCTGGTTTTCAATGTCATTTTGGTCCCACCAAAAAGAAATAAATTTAGGATAGATATATGTGTTTATAGACATAGGACAGTATCTGGAAAAATGTCAAAACATTAGTGTCATTATTTCTGGGTAGTAGAATTACAGGAGATTTTTATTGACTTCTTTTAAAACAATCTACAGATTCTAAAAAAATCTATAGATTCTTTTTTTTTCTGATTTGAATACATATTATACCTCATATAATATACCTCAAATATGTATTTGAATACATATTATACCTCATATAATACAAATCACAAATTTCTTTTCAATATAGATATGCAAAAAAGAAAAATCAGCCATAATGCCATCACCCAGAATGGGGACAGCTTACATACTAACATCTTTTTTTAAATCTATAACAAAAATGAAATCCTACCAAACATATGATTATGAATTTTCTTGTATTTGCCTTCCTCTCTGTCTTTCCAGCTCCACTCCTAGCTTCTTTGAGGTTCTCAAGCAAGTCATGCAAATGACGTAATTCTCAAGGAACTGCCACTCTTAATACAGGCCCTGCTGACACAGTGACCCTATCTGGCAAGGAGGGACATGAAAAGTTGCTAGTGGCTGAATTAGGCATAGTTCTAGTCTGTTCCTAGGAATCTGATTTCCTTTATTCTTGCTCCTCATTATAACAATTCTTTATAAAAAGGGCAAAAAAAAAAGAGTGCAATTAAAATAATTTGAATAGCAGTTCATATTACTAAGAAATGAGTAGTGGTAGAATTATATGCTATTGCAGATCTCTCTTATTATAACCTGTGATAACAGGAACACTTAATGTATGTTGAGCAGATGAACAATAGCAATCTGCAACACACTTTGTGGTTTGCAAAATTCTTCGAAGCTTATTTTCTTGTCTTATGTGACAAGAGGCCTGTGAAATCTTTGAGGATTGTGGTCATCCACTTTGGCAACTGAAAAAGCCATGGTCAAGTGATTTGACCAGGATCACACACCTAATGAAGGGTAAAGCTGAGACCAAAGCCCAGCTCTGTTTAATTTCACAGCCTAGATCATTCCACTGGGTCTCTGCCCATCTGTACTCTCAGAAGAGTGTTCATCTGTTAGGCTTAAGAATATAAGGGTGGTTACTGAGCACTGGTAATGTGGCTGGTCTGACATGAAATGTATGTGTAAAATATGTGCCAGATTCTGAAGACTTGTTATGAAAAAAGAAATGTAAAATATCTCACTAGTGATTTTTATATTGATTACATGTTGCTAATAATTTGGACATAATAGGTAAATTATATTATTAAAATTAATGTCATCTATTTCTTTTTACTTTCTTTTTAACATGACTACTAGGAAATTTAAAATAACACATATGGCTCACATTGTGTCTCTGAGTATCATCTCTGTTCTTTTGATGGTGGCTCCCGGGGTAGGTACACTAGGCTCAGAAAGGGAAGAGTTTGCCTCTCCCGGGTTGGGGTGCTGTACTAAGTTTATCAAGTGACTGTATAAGTAACACTACCTAAGACAGCTGAAGGCACGAGGTGCCAGAGATGCAAACTGCAGAAGGTGGAAAGGCCTAAAAAGATCTCTACATGATCCCCCCAGCTACTTCTGTGTGACTTTCAAGACACCATGAGCTCAGCTGGGTGGCCATGGGGGTCCCAACTCATGGCTGTGTGAGAATCTCCATCTCTGGGCTCTAGGGCCCCCAAGCTGCATTGTGTTGTGACCTGCTTGGGCTTTGGTTTGTGGGATGGAGTTTCTTCAAGAACCCTAAAACAAGCAGATGATAAGGGCCATATCCTTTACCCAGAGCTGCCACTTTCTGGCACTTGCCTAGAGATCTCTTTTCTGTATGAAATTACATCGGTGAGCCCAGTCCAAATTCCAGTTTGGAAACTGATGCTTGCCGTGCCCTCAGGCAGCTCTGCCAACATCTTGGAGCCAATGACTTGTCTAGAAACATGCCCAGGACTCTGTCCTAGCAGGGACATACTGGTATCAGGGGCTTTGGGGACCAGGAGCACGGAGCCCTGCCCTCTAAGTTGGGAAAACCATGGGGCCAAGGGAAGAGAATGAGGCCGTGCTGTGAGCCAAGCCTGAAGCACCTATTGAGATACTCAGCCCAGTGTTCCGGCTCTATGGATGGCCCAGGAACTGGAGGCGTTGGGGCTCTGCCCTCTGGGGAGCACTAGGAATACCATCCCCTCACAGACCCAAGCGTCCACAGTCAGATTTCATGGGCTAACACCCTTCATTAAATTGCATTTATTTATTTATTTATTTATTATTTATTTATTCTTTTGAGGATTTTATTTATTTATTCATGAGAGACAGAGAGAGAGAGGCAAATACAGAGGCAGAGGGAGAAGCTCCCCTGTGGGGAGCCTGATGTGGGGACTTAATCCCAAGACTTCAGGATCACGACCTGAGCCAAAGGCAGATGCTCAACCACTGAGCCACCCAGGCGTCCCTAAGCTTATTTCTTCTTAACTTTAGGGAGCAACCTCTGAGATTAGTTGTTGAAGCACCATGGCTTCCACAGGGCTTTGACCACAGGCTTCTACTCACATTTGGTGGGTGGGATGGAGATGGGTTTGCGCCTGCATAGTGATGTCTGCTTTTTATGTTTTTTTTTTAAATTTTTATTTATTTATGATAGTCACACACACACACACACAGAGAGAGAGAGAGAGAGAGAGAGAGGCAGAGACACAGGCAGAGGGAGAAGCAGGCTCCATGCACCGGGAGCCCGACGTGGGATTCGATCCCGGGTCTCCAGGATCGCGCCCTGGGCTAAAGTCAGGCGCCAAACCGCTGCACCACCCAGGGATCCCTGTTTTTTTTTTTTTTTTTTTAAAGTGGAATTGATGATCAATGTTTAAAAATCAAGAGTTTATATTAAGTCCAGGTTTCTGGCTTCTCTGGAAGAAATGTGAAAAATTGGCAATAGAGGGCTGGGGGGAATGATGGCTGTCCCTGTAGCCGAGAGGTGGCTCTCTGGGTTGCCGCAGGCCCTGGACTCCTTGGCTTTGGATTTCTGCATATGTTTCCTCTCCCAGCTTCCAACATGCCCCTTCCTTCTTCTTAGCTATTCTCCTGGTCCCAGCACTTAACCCACAGGCCACCCCACAGAGCCCCTGCTGTGGGGGAGCCAGTCCCAGCTGCACCCTCTGGTCCTCTCCTCCTCACCTTCACCGAGTAGGCCAGCGAGATGGTGACAGCCAGAGGGAGCCCCTCGGGCACGGCGACCACCAGCACCGTCACGCCGATGATGAAGAACTTGACGAAGTACTGCACATAGACGGGTGTGCACTCGGGTAGCCACGGCTTCTTGTTGACCACGAAGGTGTCCACAGTGAAGTAGAGCACCAGGATGATGACTGTGATGGCCGACATCACCAGACCTGTAACACAGGGGTCGGGGGAGACCTGCTCAGGGGCTTTCCAGGGGGGCGGGGGCCCTGAGAAGTGAGATGCAGACAAAACACTTGGCCAGGTGGACCCTAGCTCACACCTCTGCTAGCTCTGTGGCCTGGGGAAGTCCTTGATCTTCACAGAGCTTCAGTCTCCTCGTCTGTGCCATGGGGATGCACGTCTATCTTATGCGGTTTTATAAGGATTGGTTGCGATGTGTGCATAGTGCCTAGCACAGTGCCTGAGACACCTTGGAGATACTCACAAAACGTGTGCTGAGACCATGTGAACTGCTCACATAGTTCTCCCACACGATAATGTTGGTACCATTTAGTAGCTCCTAACTCGGGAATGATGGACACAGCACTAGAGAGGACAGAGTCCCTGCCCTGAGGAAGCTGAGACTCCAGAGGAGGAAGCAGACAAGAAAGAGCAAGCACATGGACAAGATCACTTAGACAGGGATGATGCTGTGGAGAAAAACTTCAGGACGACGTGACAGAAAGTGACACGGGCTGAAGATAAGAAAACCAAAGAAATATCCATTGACGGACAGATGGATGAGGAAAATGTGGTATATACATGCAATGGATAGGACTCAGCCTTAAAAAAGAAGGAAATCCTGCCATTTGCAACGACACAGATGGACCTGGGGGCATTATGCTAAAGGAGATGAGACAGACACATAAGGACTCACACGGGGAAGATAAATAGTCAAATTCAAGAAGCAGTGAGTAGAAGGGTGGTTGCCAGGGGCTGTAGGGAGGGGGTTGGGGAGAGGAAGGGGGTGGAGGAGGGTTGTTTTCCAGTGGGTATAGAGTTTCAGTTATGCAAGCTAAATAAGTTCTAGAGCTTTGCTCTACACCACCAATGTGCTTACAGTGGACAATGCAGTATTGTGCACTTCAAAATTGCTTAAGAGGATAGAACTTCTGTTGAGTGTCCTTACCCCTCAAAACAGAAAACAGAAAAGCCCATGAAAGAACATAGGAATTTTTGGAGTTGGTGGATACGTTTAGTACCTTCCTTGTGGTGATGGCATCATGGGTATGTGCAAATATCCAAAGTCATCAAGATGTACACTAAATGAGTGCAATCTTTTGTATATGAATTATATTTCAATAAAGTTTAAAAAATAAAAAAAAAATCAACGTGGGCTGACTACTTTAGCTAGGGTGTCCGGGGAGAATTCCTGGAGGAGCTGATACTTGAGGAGATGGGGAATGACGAGAAGGATAAACCAGATTGTGACCTGCAGGAAGAGCGTTCCAGACAGAGGAAACAAGAGGGGGCCCTTTTTTTTTGGATGAGGAAGCTGGGGCCAGTGAGAAGGGACTTATCTAAGGCCACAGGGCAGAGGAGCACTGCAGTGTTAGCAGATGCAGGTGGCTACCTGCTTGGATCCCCGGGATCCCCTTGCCAGCCCCATGTGCTGCAGGTGCTGAGCAGGTATTGCTGAGGCTGTGCACACTTGCAGCCTCTGCCAGAGGAAGTTCACGTTTGAGAGATCACAGTCTCCTCATCAGGAAGTGCCTGGCATGGCACCCTGCCCCAATCTGATGGCCAATATTCAATGGTTGAGGTGGGGGGTCCAATAGCCCAGCCCCCTTGCTGTGAGGCCAGACAGACCCTGTAGAGGTAGGTAGAGGCTGAGATTTCTCCAGAAGGTAGCTGGCTTTTCCCCCTGGCCCTCTTGAGCCTCTTAGTCTTTATAGATCTCACCTGAGAGCACCTGCGCCCATCCATCTCAGGCTCTGCTTCAGGGAATTAAGCCCAAGAGAGAAAGCAGAGATGGGAATCGAACCTAGAAGTGTTTAAGTCTGAACTCCATTCTTGGCAAGGCTGAGGAGGAGGAAAGAGATGAGCAAGGGCTGTGCCGGCCACGGGTTGTTCTTGGCACCGGGTTCCCTGCCCCCCAGCGCCTGCCTGCCCTGCTGTGGTTCTGTGGATGGAGGAAATCCCTGGGCCCGCAGGTCCCCCACCCCCACTCCAGCTGTGGAGCTTCAGAGCGGGCTCTATCCCCATCTGACAGTCGCAGGGGCGGGAAGCCAAGCTCCCAGCAGCCGGGAGCTATCACCAGGCCCCGAGTTTAAATATAGACAGCCAAGCCTGTAATTTGCCTTCCTTTTCCACGCTGCGGTGCCTATAATTAGAGCAGGGAGACAGCCAGGTGGGGAGGCCTTGGTGTTTGCTTTGTCCTTATGCAGGAGGAGAGGCCAAGGCCATGTCAGACGGGCAGGGCACGCCCTGCAGCTGGGCTTGGCTTCCTGGGCCAGAGGGGCCACCACCAGCCATCACCTGGAGCTCCCAGCTCAGTTGGGAATCTGGGCTTGTGCTGAGGCTCAGACAGCAGAGGCTTCTCACTGGGCTCCGGGCGCTGCCCTCAACCTCCTCAATTTTTCCTCAGCACTGCAGCTGGGGTGGTCAGTCTAGAGCCCCCATCCATCCCTGCCTTCCCCTGCTCCAACCTACCATTCGAGTGTTTATTGTGTATTGACCCAGGGTGTTGCTGTGTAGGAAAGGGTGGGTCTCAGTGCCCATCTCATGCCTCACTCTGCAGAGACAGCTTGGGGCAGGGCCCTGCCTGGGGCCCCACTGTGTACCCCACATCCCCCCTTGCTCCATCCAGTGTGGCTGCGTGCTTACCCGCCTTGCCGATCTGCACAGCCAGCTTGGTGAGTTTGCCCTGTAGCACAGATTTCTCCTTCTTGTGCATGTTGGCCTTTTTTTTGTCATCGGCGTCGCCACCCTCTGCACTCTTGAGGGGCTGCATCTCCATGGCGGCTGCCCCGTCCTGCTGTTTGGCTGCAGGGGCAGAGCACACACAGGCATGCACACACACACACACACACATACACACACAGACATGCACACCCAGGTCAGCCTGCAGGGTGGGGATACTGGCACCCACCCTGCCTGCCCAAGGGAGTGTGGTGAGGCATTCACTCCCTTGCCTAGACCCCTGCATGGCTGGCACAGAGATCCTGTGACATGGAGTCTGCCTCTCCCAGCTGGAGACCCTGATCCCGGGGCCAGTGGCTGCCTTGGATCTGGAATCCAAGTGTGAACAGGGAGTGACACAATTCCACCTTGGATTTGCAGTAGGAGTAGGCTGGGGTTCCCTCTGGGCCTGAACAAGCCCACAGATCCTTCCCCAAATGGCCCCTCAGCTTTTCCCACTTTAGACAAAACAGATAAGCTTGGACTTCCTCAGTTGGTTCTGGAGTATGTTGTTGGGATATTAAGTGGTTGCCAGACAGGAGGGACCAAAAAGGGGCTTAAAAGATAAAAGAGAGTCTTCCTATCCATGGGTGCCAAGCCCCTCTTCCTTCAGTGCAGGCCTGACTGCTGGGTCTGGGGCCTTACACTCTAACTCCTAAGGATCTCAAAGAACCAGCTTCAAGTCTTCAGCTAGATAGGCAGCATAGATCACAGGCAGGGGAAGAGCTGGCTCACAGGTGAACCCTGTCCTCACGGGTGACGTCTCCATTTGGTCTGGCACCACGTGAATCACAGCTACCCCTCCACCCCCACCCCATGTCAGGCACCTGTAGGTGCAAACCTGTCTGCCTTTAGCCTGGCTCTCAGAGCCAGTGGGGAGGGGCCACTGGGACCATAGAAGCCGGTTAAGACGAAAGGGTTACCTTTGCTCTGGCTGGCGTCCACATTGCCATCCTGCATTTTACCTACACGACAAAGAATTTTAACAGACAACAGAGAACAGACAATACATGCTGATCATCACAAAGACATAACAGGGCCATGGACATTCATGTCACGGATGGAGGAAGGGCCGAGCTGACTGTCCTTTCACATGGGGACACTGGGGAGGCCTCGAGATAAGAGCAAACCTGGCCACCACATGGGCTGCAGGGTCTGTCCTGATTCTCTGGGGGCTTGGAGAGAAGTCTCAGTGGGAATTATTTCAGCTCTGAGAATCTTACATATTAAATGACAGCCTTTGAGGGTCAAAGGGACCACAGCTGGCTGGCAGGAAGGAGAGGGGTTCTCAGGTCTCCAGTGATTAATTTGGTCTATGCCTTTGGTGGGCTGAGAGAAGGCAAAGGAAAAGAGAGAGACAGAGGCAGAGACAGAGAAAGGGAGAGAAAGGGAGAGGGAGAGAGAGAGACAAAGAGAGAGAGAGAAGGTCTAGAAGGAGAGGGCTTTGGTCAATGTGTTTCTTAGTTCCTGGCTCTAGGAGGGATGTATATAGAATTTTACCATCTCCTTTTCCATCTGGAGGAGCACGAAGCCACAGCATGGACAATCCCCTGCCCAGCTCCACTGAGAGTGACCCATCCCAAGGTGGGCAAGGGCTCCCTAGTGGTGGGCTCTGAGGTACCCCAAGTGTGTCCAGAGGGCTTGGAGGGAGTGTTCTGGCTCTCAAGGGGAAGCTGCTGAACCCCCCTCCATTTGGGTCTATGCTCTTTATTCTGAGGTTGACCAGCTCAGGCCCTAGCACATAAGGAGGTTAGGCTGGTGGGCTCCCCTGGATGTCCCCTCCTGCTCTGCCCTGCATGCTAGTGCTGGGGAAAGGGCTGAGTCTGGGGCTTCTCACTCCTTAATCAGGGCTGCATGGGAGGCCTCCTCCCCACTCTTGGCCAGAGGCTTGTGGGCTGGGTTTGCAGCATGGGAGGAACTGATGGTCACTAGCTGGCAGCTGACATACTTGCCTTTACCGGCTGGCACTGCAGAGAGAGGGGTTCCTCCTGTCTCTTGGGCCTGTCCACTGAGCTCACTCAGAGCTCTGCCCATAGGCCTTGCCACCTTGGGAGGAGTCTGAGGAGGTCAGCCACCCTTGGCCATTTGCTGTGAAGATGATTCTCACAGCCCACGTTCTATAAGAACCCACCATGTGCCAGGACGCATGTAGAACCTCCATGATTTCATCTAGTCCGCAGCACATCCCTACCAGAGCACTCCTGTATTGCAGCCACTTACAGAGGAGAAACTGAGGCTCAGAGAGGCAGACAGCCTGCCCGGGTCCTAGGGGGTAAATGGAGAGCTGACCCCAAAGTGTGTCTATGTTTTCATCCCAGCTGGGGAGAAGAGCTATCTTTCAGCCCCTCTGAGCCCAGAGGAGAAGCATCAAGGCAGCCCTGGTGGGACTGGGCTCCCGAAACCCCCTTTTTGACACCAACTAGCTGTGCAGCTTTACCTCTCCCAGTCTCAGTTTCTACCTCTGTACAATGGGGATGCAACATTCAGCTTCCACAGCACCCGACAGTTGTCTTAGTAATAACCACTTGCCTATTTATCATTTTGTAGTTTGTGTCATGCCTTGTCAATCTTTCCTGAACACTGCCAGTAGGATGGGAGGGATTCTCATCACTCTCTTTTTACAGATGAGGAAACTGAGGCCAAGGGAGGTTTAGAGACAGCCCTGATTTCTGCAGCATCCTGATGATAACCCTGTGGCTGCCTTACTGGTTCCATAATACTGTCATCACCATTGCCATACCATGTTGTTGTAAGTGACTCAGAGGGGAGAAGTGGCTTTCCTGGATCCCAGCCCCGTGCTATCTCTCCAAGGGAAGTGCAGGGCTGTTCCCACTGCCTCTCACAGCAAAGGGTCAGTGATCCACCCTGGGGGTTGAAAGAGAAGGGCCCCTGTTGCTCTATTGTAAAGTTCCTTTTGCTGGATTAAAAACAAAACAGAAAAAGCCTTTTTAGAACAAATAGGAATGAACTACAATTACTTTTATTTTTTAAAATAATTTTACTAACTAGGCTAAAGGGCACAGCAGGATACTTGGTTTTAGAAGACACAAAGGAGCCTTATTTGCATTGCATATTATCAGATGCAATAGCCCATGTGTGCGCCCATTAACCAAGCTAGCAATTTCCTCTTTTATTTCCATAGTGATCACGTGGCCAGAAAAATAATCACCAATGCATATGTTCAAGGGAGGGAGCTGTGTTCTGGGGGTGCTTTGGTGCAGATGGCCTGGTTTCTCAGAAGCAAGGGACTTATTTGGGGCTTTCCTCAGCCAAAGTGGTGCTTGCTTGGCCCCAGAACTATGGTGGGACAGCCAGCTCTGGCTCTGATCTGGCCCAGGAGGGTGGGCTGTTTCAGGGGCCCTGGGATGGGGAGCTAGGGTGGAGACTTGGAGGCCCCTCTGCATCAGATGCCAAATGCAGCTTTGACAAATGGGTCTGTGCTCTTCATGCAGGGCAATGGCATGGGTGTAAAAACATGTTTGTGGAGGAATCATGGTGAGGAGACCTGATAAACAAGCTTTGGGGAGACAGAGCACTAATTAGGTAAACCTGGAGATGTTACTTCTCTTGCCTGTGCCTCCATTTCTTCCCCCATGTCATGTGACAATTTCAACCAAGGCGAGTGTCTGAAAAGCACCACAAAGTGCCCTGTTAATGTCTGGAGTTCAGAGTTATGTATTTACTAATTGTGATGAAATAGTGATATATTAATAAACATAAAAGAAATAATAAAATAATACTGCCGATCATAATGGCTCCAAGATGAATGGAACGCACCCACTTTTAGTTGGGAGGGGGCTCAGGTTGGGTGGACAGTCGGCCAGCTGAGTGTGTTTTCTATATTTAAATCATCCTGATGTGGTTCAGAGGAAGGAGCTGAAGGAACGGTTAGTTCTCCCGTTGACCAAGTCTCAGCCTGGCACCTCTTAACCTTTAGTGCATTCCGGCCTGGAGCCTGGAGAACTTAGTAGAATGCAGATTCTTGTTCAGTGGGTCTGGGGTGAAGCCTGAGGTTCTGCATTTCTAACAGGCTCCTAAGAGATGTCTAGGCTTCCGGTCCTCTGATTACAGTTTGAGTAGCAATGGCTTAGAGCACTGTTTCCCAAAGTATATTTCAGAGACATGCCAATCCCACAAGATTCAGGAAAGGTCCTGCAGCCAAATCAGCCTGGGAAGCCCTTCACGGCTAATTTTCCACCATATACCAGCACATTCAAGGTTCTAAGTCCCGCAATGAGGAAGAGACTAATTCTGTCCCAGGGTTCTGAAACATCTTTGACCACAGGATCCTTTTCTTGGGGGTAGGACCTCTTAATATCCCTGTGAAGTTTACAAGACCCACTCCTTCGGGACATCCTGGATCAGGAAGAGAAGCATGCACTTTAGAGCCAGCAGGCCTGGGTTCAAATCGCAGCTCTGCTAATTTTTTAGTTCTGTGACCTTGGGCTAGTGTCTTGATCTCTCTGAGTCTCAGTCTCCCTATCTTTAAAGTGGGGACAATAAACTGTGTATGATTGGGTTGTCATGAGGATCAAATGAGGCCATGAGCATGAAATGTTCGCAAAGTGCCTGGTGAAGAGTAGGTGGTCAAGTTCCCTATCTTTCCTGCAGTTTTTCTCAGGATACTAGGGGTTTTCTGCTACAGTTTGGAAGTGAAGCTGCCTTTTTTTGGACCGACCAGCCTGGATGCAGTCTGTATGTTCCCGAGCCCGGTAGGCTCATTGCTCTAGGGGAAGCAGAAGGCCAGCTCCTGTTCCCTTCTCCCCCTGCCTGGGTTTGCCTATATTGGTTCTCCCTGTCATCCCTCACTTCCCCTCCCTGATGCATGACACCTCCTACACCCCAAGCTGTTCGCCTTTCTCCTCCTGTGCCTGAAATAGACCCACACTCAAATTAGCAAGGCACAGCTCACAGAAGTGTCTTGCTTGGACTCTGACGTCTACTAGGTGCTTCCATCATTAGACACTTTGAATGCAGGTGGCTCAGCCAGAGGTGTGGAGCAGGGGGTGAGACTTTGAGGTAGGACAAGATCTCCACCTCTTCCAGGAGTGATGAGGAGTAAATGACATAATAGATGAGAAACCCACAGCCCCGTGCCTCCTATGCAGTGATGCTGCAAGAAAGGCTCCCCTCCCCCCTTCGATTCCCTGGGGCAACAGTTTTATGATCAAGCCCTACAGCTCTCAGCCTGGGTGACTATCATGCTACTTCATTTGGGGACAGGGGATCTATCTGAGTACATAGAAGCCTTGTCACTCTGAAGGCAGGAGGGCAGAGAAATAAGAAACCCTCTAAAGGCTTGGAGGCAAGTGAATGGAATTCCTTCTTGCCTGTGGGTAAAGAGGTTAAAATACAGACCCCAGCTACTGTGGCAGCCCCCCCACTGCCACCCTAACCCTCAAGGGGCCCCATAAGAATGCAGAGACTCAGGAAAAATGCTCTAGCACAGGCAACAGCAGGAAACACCAGGCCACCTCCGAGGGACAGAACCAGGCCCGAGCCCAAGCGAGCCCTCTGCCCATTCACTCCGTGAAAGAGAAGAGGAAGACATGTTTGTCAGTGGCTCAGCCATGCTATGGGGTGGGGCCGAAGAGCTGAACCCCGGCCTGGGTCCCCCTGCCTCAAGGAAAATCTTCCAGTCAAGGACTGGAGCCTTCACCAGAGACCCAGATGCCAGCTTCAGCCCAGGTCCTGACCCCAGGCCTTCTTCCCCAAGCTAGGGCCAGGAATGTGCTTAGGAGAGGGCCACGCCGGGTGGGATGCTGCTTCTTGGGAGCCAAATCTGAAACCCAGGTGATGTCCCTCTTCTGGGCTCCATTGGGGGTTACGGGCCCAGCAGGACCAGTGCCATTTTGGCAGCCCGCAAGTGGGCGTGGAGCTGATTCCCCGGTGGTGGCTTCTCTCTTAAGCGCCTGCCCCACGTGGGAGGATGACTGTCCCAGAGCTGCCCATGCACATCCAAGATCTGTGCAGTCCAGAACAGGGAGAGGCAAGCCCAGAGTTGGGGGTGGAGGAGAGAGAGATGCCCATCCAACCGAGACCGAGAGCTCGCCATCGGAGACGTACCATTGACTAGGCTGGCATTTGCACTATCTGCAGCATTTGAACCTGCTGCACCATCGGCCGCTGCAGGGGTGGGAGGGATGGAAAATGCAGTGTGTCACAATGGAGAAAAGCAACAATGCAGAACAGCAACAACAATAAAGACATGAACCAACTTGCAGGAAATAACATGACTATATTCTTTAAAAAAAAAATCTCCGTTGGAAATCAGGAAACTCAAATTTGGGGGTGGAGGTGAAATGTTCCCACAGAGATGCCATAAAAATCAGGGAAAAAACTCAGACATGGAGGGTCTTTGAAATAAAGCATGGCAGATGATTAATGTGGTTAGGTAGGATGGCACCATTCTGTGCTAAGGTCTGGGCTAATGCACCCGCCTGGCAATGCCCATCAGGCAGGTCCCCACCAGAGAAGCTTCTATTAGAGGGCAGCTCTGGCTGCCTGTCAGGGCCAGAGGGACCCATGGCCGAGAGTCATTTCCAAACATTCGACAGCTAGTGCAGGACAGGCACCAGCCATTCTGATTGAGTATTTGTCATGACCACCATCGCTGCGTCCCAGAGGAACATCCAGCGGTGGTGGTGACTCAGGATTCAAACCCTTGACTCAGGCCACTGCCCATGGCCACCTCTTCCTTCCTAACCAGCACTCTAAAGATCGCCTTGGTTACCCCTACACGAGATGCCCCATCATTTAATTGGTGACATCAAGCATGTCACACTTTGTGCATGAGACAGAGTACTGGCAGGTTTCCCTTTGTTTAGAAATTAAAAATGATGTGAGATAGTCAAACTCACTCTGGTTGTTCTTTCCTGGGGTGGGGAAGTGGGTCTTGTGGGAAGGGGAGGGAAGAGATACCAGCGGGTAAGGTGCACATGCTGTGTGGGGAGGGGTGGCCAGGACAGGCTCTGCAGGTTGTGCACAGGACAGCAGGGCTGTGGGGTCACATGGTGGTGAGTGGGGCCCTGCCCGCTGGTGTGTGGGGCTGAGGCCAGTGTGGAGATGGTGGTGGTGCCATGTGCATTGGCTGGCAGGGTAAAGCACTGGAAGGGTAGAGGGAGGTGCTGGGTCCTCCGGTGGGCCTGGCAGCACGTGGGGGCACAGTGGAGGGTCTGGTGGGTCAGGGAGCCTCCTCCAGCTGTGTGCTGGTGGTCTAGGGCCAGGGCTCAGTGCTCAAAGGCTGCTGCTATTTCTAAAGGTCCCATCTACCCTGAGGGGTGTCTTACTGTACCTGGTAGCTGAAGGCCATCCCCCTTCTTCACACCTGTGTGATGATTTTTGAGACATGTTAATGAAGGAGAAGCACATACAGCCTCATCTGCACGTGCACGTGTACGCACATTCACACACACACACACACACACACACACACACACACACACGGCTGCACGCCTGCAGTCATCCTGAAAGGGGGGCCTGCGATTGGCAGGCTCTAAGCAATGTCCCTGGTGGAACTGATGGGATGGGAGTGCAGAGGGGGCCCAGCCCCAGCCATGCTGCTCATGGGGGCTGGAGAAGCTGGGTGGCCCCGTATCTTCCTCTGCTGTGTCCCCCCACATCCCACTTCTTCCCTCTACACTGACACCCCCATCACACTGGGGTGCAGGTGTGTGTTCAGTAAAGGACTCTACATGTGCTTTAGGGCAGGAGAGGCCTGTCTTCCTACTGAAATCTTTGAGAACACAGATCTGGCTTCTGTCCCTTACCCAGGCCCCAGGGAGGCCTGCCTTACCTGCTATACCCTGCTCACTGCCCGTATCTGCTCAACTGTCTGCACCCTGGTGCCAGAGCTGGCCACAGTTTCTATGACACTGTGTGGACACTGTCCTGATACCCTCTGGGCCTCTCGATTAGGACCGTGTCCTTAGTTTCAATCTCAGCTGTCTCCTGGTTCTTCTCTCCAGCCTCTGGACTTCCCAGATGACAGCTCAAGCTCCACTATTCCTGCTGGTGAGGCTGTCATAATCTTAGGGGGGCCCCTCCAGAAAATGGGGTATTGCCCTTGGGAACACTTAACCTTTGGTTATGACCCAGGCTCTGTGTCTGGTTGGCTGCAGATTGCTGGAGGTAGCAGGGTTGCCCTTAAAACTCAAGCACGGGCCATCTACATTCTCTCTCCTTCCCCTGGACCCCAGATGTTCTGGGTGTGGGGGACCCTCCTCTGGAGCTTGAGGAAAGAGACTGAAGATATCAGAGGGGGCTGTCCCTGAGATTGGGCATAGGTATTGGGTAAGGAGCTGGCCATGCTGGGGACAGGGGTCTGGCCTTTGGGTCTGGGCCTGGCCTGATGGAACTTAGGCTTTTTGTGTGTTCTGAGCATCTCTCCCTCTGCTCTGAGAGGCACTTGTAGCCCAGGCTACTGGCCTGTTGCCCTGAGGGGGAGCTCAAGGAGTAGGAATCTTGTTTCCAAGGTGGAAGGGAAGCTAGAACCCAGGCAAAGTGGCCACTCTGGGGGGTGGGGGGAGGTAAGAAAGGGAACCACAAGTTTGGCCACCTTTCCTAGAATCTCCTCTGCCCACATCCGGTCGGAGTCTGGGCTGGGGGAGGGTGGGGGTTGTAGCTCTGCTCTTGGAGTGGAGAATACGGTAGGAGTGAGCGCAGGTGGGGCTTTCTACTCCATATCAGGGCTGATGATGGGACCAGGTCACACTTGAGGCTGGACACTGAGCCTGGCCTGGGGGGAGGGTCCTCCATGACATGACGGGACAGACAGAGACTGGGACAAGACCCTGGAGATGGAACAGATAGAGTCCTTCTGGCCAAGCAGAGCCTCAAGGATGCAGGAGGCGGCTGTTGGCACAGGGCGGGGACATAAAAGGCACTCAAGAACTATTTTGTTGAGTGAATGAGTAAACAACAAAAAAAGTGACCCGAAGAGCTCTTCTCCCAGTCTGTGGGGGGGCTGTGCTTACCTTTCTTGTCTTTCTTCTCTTCCTCCTCACCACCAGCCCCCAGCAGGGTGAAGATGATGCCAGTCTGAGAGTTCACACCCACAGCAGTCACTACCATCCGTCCAGAGCCCTCCATCACGTGGGTCCCTGGGGAAGGGGACAAAAGCCAAGTTACCGCTGCTTGAGTCCAAGCCCCCTCCCCCAAGGAGTGCAAGGAACTAGGTCCCAGAAACGCTCCTGGCTCTTTGCCTGCCGAGGCCCTGGGGTACTGCCCACGGTCAGGGTGCAAACGATGTACGTGTGGTGGATCCTCTGAGTTCACTTTGGGACAGGGCTGTAATGGGCTACACCTCACTTCTCTGGCCGACCACCTGCTACCTTCTCTTGGAGAGTCACCTCCCCGCTCTGTCCTAGATAGGACTGGACAAGACCACTTATAAAGGGGTCTGCTCCCTCCTAAAGATCTGGGGAAGAACTCCCTCTGTGACCGTGGAAGAGAAGACAACTGCATCTTTATTTCACAAATGCCTAGCCAAAATTTAGCATTTCCACCTGCTATGAATATGGGCAACAAACCCCAGGAGTGCTAGTGGCGATTACATGCATTACAAATAACACAGGTTCTTTGCCATATGACTTTACAGTTGTTGCGATCATTTTTGTTCATCCTGATTTTACAGGCACAGATGTTACTAGCCTACCCGCTGGACCTTGTTATCAGTGTGCTGACAAAGAAGCACCTATATGGCTCTCTCACACATTATTATTTTCACTATTTCAATGTAATTGGCCTCCTTTGTGATCCAATGTTTTCCATTTTATGCGTTTTATTTTTTTTAAAGATTTTATTTTCTTATTCATGAGAGACATACAGAGAGAGGCAGAGACATAGGCAGAAGGAGAAAGGATCCCATTGCGTGATTTGATCCCAGAGCCCTGGGATCACATGCTGAGCCAAAGGCAGACACTCAACCACCGAGCCTCCCAGGTGCCCCTATTTTATGCATTTTAAAGCTTTATTCCAAGTAGGGGTGGTACATGATGACACTAGACTTCCCCAGGCTCTATGGTGCAAGAAAACCCCTTTTGCAGAATTTTAGGATTTTCAAACTGGGTTTTAAAGGGCCCTGCAATTCTTTTGAGGGGCAGGAGGGTCGGCCTTGGGGGTGGGGGAGGCCTCTGGTCAGAGTGGCTCCACTTTAATTCCTATTTAGGGTTTCTGTGTCAGCTGCTGTTTGACATGAGAGTCTGGTTGCTACTGTTATAGAGGCCCCTCCAACCTCTGTGTGGGGCTCAGGAGGCAGCTTGTCCAAGATTCACTTGGGGGGGTTTGTGCCAGAGTGAGGATAAAATGCAAAGGTAAATCTGCTGAAAAACGTGCAACATACACACAATGGATTATTATTTGACCTTAAAAGGGAAGGAGATTCTGACACAGGCTACAACATGCATGAGCCTTGAGGACATTATGCTCCGTGAAATATGCCAGATGCAAAAGGCTAACTACTGTGGTACGTGAGCTCTGCAGAGCAGTAAAATTCACAGGGACAGAGAGCGGAATGGTGGCTATAGGGGCCGGGGAGGGGGGCCTTCGGGGGGTGACTCTTCAATGGCTCTAGAGGTTCGGTTTTGCAGTTATGAAGAGTGCTGGAGGTGGACGGTGGTGATGGTGGCACAACAGTGTGAATGTCCATAATGCCATGGACCTGCATACTTAAGAATGCTTAAAATCATAAATTTTATGTGTTTTTTACTGTGATAAAGAGTTGGGAAAAAACAAACAAACAAACCCGCTGAAGCTACAGCCTCACTGGAGAAACAAGATGAGCCCCTGGGGCAGGGGGGCAGCTGGGACCCAGCCCGGGAAGTGGACGGCCGCTATGGCGATCTACTTCTCGTAGAGACGCAGGCACAGCCAGCCCTCTATCCTCAGGCTGGTGCTGGGGATGCATCACCATGTCCTAGGGGCTGTCACAGACCCACAGACCACTCACAGAGTTGGCCCGCATGGTCTGTCGAGTGTCACCTGCAGTGGTGACAGGCACCCCTGGGGAGACCCCCTAGGCCTGCCAGCAGCCCCTCTATTTAGTAAAGGATCCAGGTAAGTGAATTTGCACCTTTAGGCACCCACTTTTTAAAAAATTTTAAATTTAAATGTTCTCCACCCTGGATAGAAATGTGTTTCCTTCTCCAACAGAGAGGGAAGCATCTCAGGCCATCCTCAGGCTGCACAGGAGGAACCAGACTGGGGCTGAGGGCCCTCTTCTTTTTCTTCTTTTTTTTTTAAAGGGTTTTATTTATTTATTTGAGTGAGGGAGAGCAGGAGAGTACAAGCAGGGGGAGGGGAGGGGCAGAGGGAGATGGAGAAGCAAACTCCTCACTGAGCAGGGAGCCTGATGTGGGGCTCGATCCCAGGACCTTGGGGTCATGACCTGAGCTGAAAGCAGCCGCTTAACCAAATGAACCACCCAGCACCCTGATGACTTGCTTCTTGAACCCAATTCTGCTTTTTTACAGTTTTCCTTCTTTTCCCTCCAGAGTAATGGCCACTTCTCCCTGTTTTCAGGGTAATTTGTATCTAGCAGTCTTCTCTCTGTTTTCCAGTTTGCTTCAGACTTGAAGTCTTGGTCAATAATTCAGAATTGTATCTCAACGCACTTTCCTCAAGCAAACAATCTATTTTCAATTTTCAAAAGGTTTTACCCACTCCTCCTTTTTTGTTCTAGCACTTGAGTGATAGCCTGTGTGTGCATGTGTGAGTGCCTACATGTATGCATGTGTATGTGTGCTCATGCGTGTGTGTGTGTTCTAGCCCCTTACCCTCTAAGATCTCATGATTGCAACATGCTTTACAGACAGATGGACACTCTCCAGTGAGTTCCTTCCTGGCGGGTAAAGGTTGTTCTATCTGTGTGTACATGAGTAAGCCAAGTCATAAAGGCTTCCAGCATGGGCACGAAGGCTGGTGAGCTGTAACAAGAACCCAGATGTTCAGATGGCTCCTTGTTTGTTCCCAGGATGGAAAGACAGTGCTCTTTTGTCTCTGGGCAGGGAATGGTGGGGACCACAGGATGACCTCCGACACTGACTGCAGGTGGAGCAGCCCACGTACACCCTGGAGCCCATCTACTTGCCCACGGGGCACAAACTGGGAGAACCAGGCCCACATACAGGACCTTGGTAATTATAACTTGCTGACAAGATTTCTCATGCACTGGCTCAGCTTGTGTGGGGTGGGTGGGTGGTGTACTTTTAACTCTCAGCTATATTAGACAGATGAGGAGCCTGGGACCCGGAGAAGTCATGTGTATGTGGGGTGTCCCAGGTCTTTCAGGGTGAGGAACACTCTGTGCTGATTCAAAGTGCAGATGGCAGTGGCCAGAGCTGACCCCTGCGGGACACCTCCTGTGTGACAGGCATCGAGCTAAACATTTCACACACCATCATCTCATTAGTCCTCACCCTGGCCCTGGCTTTACAGGGAAAAGTGGTTTGCCCAGGGTTACCGGCCGGTGTGGGTGACTCTCCCCTGTCTCTTTGTCACATACCAGGCCCCACCTCAGGAAGCCAGGCCCACACCCTGGTCTCAAACACATTCTGAAAAAATCTGCTCTGTCTGGGTGGTTATGTGGAAGCTGGTCTCCAACTCCCCAGCCCTGAGCAGGATGGAAAAATACACAGGGGGCCAATTTCCACGCAAGATAATCAGACCCAAATCACCTTCTAATCTAATCGCTCCCATCACAGCAGGGAGCAGGAGGCAGAGGGGAGGGGGGAGGAAACCAAGGAGGCAGCCTCTGGCTACAGTGTGGGACATGGGGACACGAGGACACGGGGTGAAGGTACAGCACATGCCTTGCTCAGCCTTAGATGAGCCTCAGGGTGGTCCTCCAGGCCCCAGCACTAGATGGGTGCTGGTTGTTGGGGGCATCACACCCCCTCTGTGCCCCAGCAGTGCCCCCTTGCCCCTGGCCATGGCTCTAATCACTGTCCCCCAGCCCAGACACTTGGTAGCATCTCCAAAGTCCAAATACCTTTCAGCACATCCTTGGTGAGACCCCAGCCTGACCTCCTACTCCCGTAGGAGCACACAGCTCACTAAAGATCTGTGTTTAGTCCTTCACCTTTGCTCACATTGTTACCCCCTCCTGAGTGTCCTTTTCCCTGCTCTGGCCCCAAACCTCCTCTTCTAGGCTGGGGATGAAGGGTCCTCGTAGGTGGCCTTTTCTTTCTTTCTTTTTTTTTTTTAAAAAAAGATTTTATTTATTTATTCATGAAAGACACACACACACACACACACACACACACACACACAGAAGCAGAGACACAGGCCGAGGGAGAAGCAGGCTCTACGCTGGGAGCCCGATGTGGGACTTGATCCTGGGTACCCAGGATCACACCCTGGGCCAAAGGCGGCGCTAAACCACTGAGCCACCCAGGGATTCCCCGTAGGTGGCCTTTCTTGATCTCCACCAGGGGACTTCATCTCTCTCCTCTGATCTGCCCCCCACCCCGCAGTTTCCCCTGGGGGTGCTTCCAGGCCTGGCTATCCCCCCAGACTGTGAGCTTCTTGAGGGTAGGTTCTGAGTGCGAGTCTCCCCTTAGCAGGCCCAGCTTGTAGGTGGAACTCCAGCACATTTTTTTAACTGCTACTTCTTTTCTTGGTATTTTCCCTAGTGGGTACGTTTGACATTTAGGGTGGAGAATCTCCACATGCCTCATAAGCCATCTTTATGGTTTTGCAAAGGGTCAGATTCATCCCAGCCTTGCACTCTTCCCCACCCCTCCCTGGGCTGTCCCTTCCCCCTCCCGGGACCTCAGAGCCTGCTGCGCCTCCTATTGGAGGAAGAACTGAATGCACCAGGTCACCCCTGCTGCAATCGCACACCAACTTCAGAATACCTCTCAAGGGGTGATGTTTGACCCTAAGGGCTGCAGCTCTAATGGTAGAACCAATTCAAGGTTGATTGACTAAACGTCCCAAAGGAAAACTATAGAGTCTCTGGGTAGCGCCAGAGGTGAGAACCCTTCAGGTGTGAGGGGGCCCTCAGAGGGTCTTGCACCAAGACCTCGATGTCCATGGTCCCTTGGCACCATCCTAGAGCCCCCCACCTGGTCCAGTCTCATGAGCCCCTCAGAATACACGA